CTCCATATGCTGTACATATAGATGAGCGAGTCAGAAATTAAAACCCAAGAGTTCCCATGCCATCTTTGTTTGTTAATAATGAGTTGTTGTTGTTTTTTTGTCTGAGTCTCTTTCATTGTGAGTAGGTTTGAATATCCTATTCACAAAATTCTTTGAGTCTCCCCTTTTAAGGACTTGATACCTACATGTCGGATATCTGTTGGTTTTATTCGAACATTCCACGTAAATAAAAATATCAACCTTTTTTTTTATTACACATGCTTTGTGATTTAAATGTTGTAGCCTTAGGTGTGGGGATTCATTAGTTGTGTTTTATCACATCTTATTATTCATATAATCAATCTATCACTGATAAATACCTTAAATGTTCCAGAACAGAAAGATATCTCAATCAAACTTACATATGGAATGCCAAAGAGGTTGAATTCCAACATACCTGAAAAGCACAGAGATTATTATCTAATTTTCATACTTACACATCAAAATTTTCAAACACTCTAGTTCAGGGTTGAACTACGTTATAAAAAGCACACAATTTAAAAATAAGATGCTTATGGACATAAATAAATAAATTATAATAGTACAATAGACTTTTAAACAATATATATTAGTACAATAGACTTTTAAACAATATATATATTAGTACAATGGACTTTTAAACAATATATATTTGTACAATGGACTTTTAAACAATATATATATTGAGTACAATGGACTTTTAAACAATATATAATGAGTACAATGGACTTTTAAACAATATATAATGAGTACAATGGACTTTTAAACAATATATATATTGAATACGAAAATAAAACTATGCTGATCGTTAGGAATTGAAGTAGGTAGATAATTTTTATTTCCAGTGTTTTATTGCAAACAAAAATATATTTAAAACAAAGAAAATTATATAAACAAATCAAAAGGTATATAATCATATATAAACACTAACTGACTGTTTCTCAATATCTCATTAATCATGAACTGGTTTTTGTAAAGTGTTACTACACTGCAATAGTTTAGTTCATGTTGTAGCAAAGACTTTTTATCGACTTTTCTTAAGAGATTTTGAGTGCAAGACAAACGATAAGGTAGTGTAATGCAAAAACATGTTTAAAATAATAACATATATTGCTATCATATGAGTATTACTACCAGTGATGTATTCGCTGTGAATATTTATGTCTACTTTCAAAGAAAGTTTAAAAAAAATAACATCACATTCAACTCAACAGAAAAAAAAAGTCATAACTTCACTGTAGTTATCAAGCACTTAAAACACATGCAATCAATATTTTAATAGAACAACGACATATACTAAAAGAAATGACAATATAACAATTCAAAATGTTAAAGTGACAAATGACGTGTGCACGAAGCGATAACAGAGAGTATCCTTTATCTGCCTAACACTTCACTTAGATAAGTCTTGTTTCTTTTTTTTCAAGTACTGAAAATTCTAGCATGAATTGTATAAACTAATTCTAAATTTACCAATGATAGACCGATGTAGGTCTGGCCAGCGGCTGGAGTTGTCGCCAAGCCAGTGTCCAGCGTACTTGCCGCTAGAGGGATACGTTGATCTAGAGATGACAACACTCCTTTGCTTGGTTGCGGTTTGAGCAGCCCTAAAAATGACACAGACTTATTTTGTTAAATTCTGCTCGTGTTTTTCTAATGCAAACAATTATTTCATATGGTGACTTTTTTCCCCCATATTTTATGTTCCAGGTGAATATAAAGTTATTGTTTATATTCTGCTTTTTGGATGACTTTAATTTTAATATAATCACATACGTTTAATTTCTTGATTATTGATATTTCCTGCATCAGTCGGATTGTAACTGTTTTTGAATTTTTACAATTAAGAAGTCAATATTTTAAATGTCTTTATATGTTTCGATTTCGTAATTTACCACAAACATATATATGGGATGAATCTAACAGAACTGTGGCTAAGAATGGTTCTGTAATACTATATTTTCAGGAAAGTTAAAATCTGCCCGGCATGACTAGGTGGTTAGGGAGCTCGACTCGCAATCTGCGGGTCGCGGGTTCGAATCTCCGTCACAATTAAAAAATTTTCGCCCTTTCAGCCGTGGGGGCGTTATAATGTGACGGTCAATCCCACTATTAGTTGGTAAAAGAATAGCCCAAGATTTGGCGGTGGGTGGTGATGGCCTTCCATCTAGTCTTACAGTGCTAAATAAGGGACGGCTAGCGCAGATAGCCCTCGTGTAGCTTTGCGCGAAATTCAAAACAAACAAACAAATTAAAATCTCTTTCAGAGGTCTCTATCAATTAAATTGCGCATTATATTTTTATGTAAGTATATAACTTATCAATGAACGTTTGATCAAAACCAAGTTATCTGAGAATAAGGCGACTTATAAAGTAGTGAAGTAAATACTATAAAGCAAACTTAGAAAAATACACAATGTCACAATTCAATCACTAAAAAACAAAAAGTAACAGCTATTTATAATAGAAAGCATTGAGTCATCAGTTGGATTCAATTACTATTGACGTTATTTTCTGACATAAACTCATTAACATTCGGCCGCCTAAGAAATTTAGGTTACCGTATTTTGCGGTGTATAAGACGCACTTTTTTACCCCAAAATTTTATGTCAAAATCTCCTTGCGTCTTGTATACCGAAGGTATGAATACTATATATGTATATATACGACATACACAAGCCATGTGTAAATATATTTAAATAGGCATGTATAGTTTAGTTCAATTGAATGTGTTATTTATAACAATAGTAGTTTTTTGCTTTTAAAAACATAACTATTTATAATGCTCCCTAAATAATAAAAAAAATGAATTACAGTGAAAGCAATGAAGATTTTGCAGGTTTTGAACCAAACTAAATAACAGTAAACCTTTTTTTGATTTACAGTATTTTCTGATTTTGATGTTTTGAGCTCTTTTGCGTTTAGACCAATATATACTAATTTTTAAAGTATCAAATT